ATTATTCAAAATTATTTTAAATTGTGTAGTCTTGGATATAATGTTAATTTAAAAATATATATTTTTAGCTTTAGAACCAAGGATTACGTTATTAGTTTTTAAAAAGGGAGTTTAATTTTTATTTTTTATTTTTTTGAAGGAAGAGGGTTTTATTTTTAGATACAAAAAAAGATGGAAAAGAAACAAATACAAGACTGAAAGTGAGGCAAAAAATAGATGTACTCTATAGAATTCTTTTTTTCTTGTAAGAAAAAAACATTTTTTTAAATCCAAAAAACAAAATTTAAAAAATAATATGGAAGTTTCACCTTTTGTAACTTTTTAAATTTTTTAGATATTTATTACTCCGTATTATAAATTAGTTTTCATATATTTGTATCATAAAAATATATCTATAAAAATAACTAAATAAGAAGTACTAGTATTTCTTCTTTTTTTCCAAAAGAAAAAAAAAGAAAAAGAATTGGAGCAAGTAGCCTCGCACATGCCACGGAAAGAGGAGTAAGCAAGTCATGCCTCGCCCAAATCAACCGTGTCAAATCCTATGTGGCATGCGTGGCAGTGGCTTTGACACGCCACTGCCCATGCTCTTAGGAATAAAGGGAGTATTTTAATTTCATAGAGTTTATAAAATAATAATGAGTGAAAATTGAGTGGATAAAAAGAGGGGACGGGAAAATACCTAAATAGTACTCCCTCTGTCCCAAATTATAATGCCTGTTCACTATTCAGAGGGTCAAACTTCACTCACTTTCTTTCTCTATTTTCGTTAGCAAATTGATAAAATAAAATATTGTTGTCACTACTAGTTTTGTAGATCTTTTGATGTAATATTTTGATATGTAATTTGTATTTTTTAATTATATACCATTTGTCATATAAAATGATTTGAAAATAACTTCAGTCAAACATCGTAAATCGAAACAGGCGTTATAAAATGTGACGGAGGAAGTACTCCGTATTAAAACATAGAGAAAAATATTAAAATAAGACTTTTATGTTTTTTTTCTCAAAATAGGATTTCGCATGCACTGTGGTAATGTGACATTGTACATATACACATTACTATACTTTTGGTAATGTACATGACAATGTTTGGTAATGTAAATACATTTTAACTCTTATTTCAGGAATAAAAAATGAAAGTTCTATTTTCGTATATTTTCAATAGTTTACTCCAATTTTTGTCTTTTATAATAGACTAAAGAGAAATAAAACATTAAAAAATACCAAAAATAAGACTGTCATGTTTTTATTCTCAAAATAAGAGTTAAAATGCATTTACATTATCAAACTTGGTGATGTACATTACCAAAAAGTATAGTAATGTGCACATGTACATTGTCATATTACCAGTACATTACCACAATGTGAACTCCTATTTCATAAATAAAAATATATAATTTCTATTTTGGTACTTTTTTTATGTTTTAGTCAGGATTTAAAAATTTGTTTGCTAATATTACCTGCGTCAAAGCCAAATTCATAATTTTTGTTAAGATGGGAACTCAATCAACTCACCACTCCGTAGACCACCAACTTCATATGCCTTAGAGCATAATGGCAAATAAATAAATAGAATGTCACGCGATGACGAGACATATTTCAACCAATTAAAACAGGTTCAGTCACAGAGTGGCAAGTAGGGTTGTAAATGAATCGAATATTTTTTGTTCGGTTCGTGATTCGTATTCGTTTAAGGTGATTCGTATTCGATTTTTTCAAATCCGAATACGAATACGAATCTGAATAAATATTCGAATCCTTATCGAATACGAATATGAATCTAAGGGTATTCGATTCGTGAGTTTGACAAATATATTCGGAACATAAATCTAATTATAAAAAATTATATATATATATATATATATATATATATATATACACATACATATATATAATGGCTATAAAATATTTTAAAATCTAAATGAACTAAATATTTGTAAACGAACCGAATATAGTTAAACGAATCGAATATTTAAACGAACCGAATATGTTTAATATATTAAACGAATCGAATACGAATCTTAAAAAATATTCGAACCGAATTCGAATTCGAATTCGAATATCACTCCATCTTAACGAATATGAATATTTTTCATGAATATTCGATTCGATTCGATTCGTTTACAACCCTAGTGGCAATGGCAAGTCATTACTTTTTTGGTTTTTTAAATTTTTTTATGTATATTAACCAACAAAAATTATTTTAATCATCTCTTTTAACCTACAAATACTCTGCATTTCTATTACCTTCATAGAAAAAGCTTTTTTTATATAAAAATAGAAATTGAACTAAAAATAAAAATATTTCATAGTGAATAATCAAATTAACAAATTTAAAAATCATAATACAAATTAAACAAAATAAATCAAAAAGCATGAAAAGGAGATGATTGAGTTCCCCACTATGTTCTTCGTCCCTGTAGCATGAAAAAGAGATGATTGAGTAATTCTCCTCCTTATTTCGTTCTGACGTAAAAAAAACAAAAAACAAAAGAAAAATTAAGCATTCCATGCCTTGGCAATGACCAAAATACAAATGCCACGCGAGGGGAAATATGCTTGGTGCTGATGTGGCAGTGCGTGGAGGCTATTTGACTCGCCACTGCCCATGCTCTTAGAGCATGGGCAATGGCAAGGCAAAAAATGGAATGCCACACGTTGACGTGGAACATTTCAACCAATAGAAAACAGTCCAGTCATCGTGTGGCAAGAGCATGGAGTGGCATGCATTGCAGTGGCAAGTCATTATCTTTGTCACTTTTTTACATTTTTATGTATTTAATTATTAATAATTATTTTATTTAATATTTTTATAAAAATAATTCTACTTTGTTTATACTCTCTCCGTTCCCAAAAATGTCATAGTTACTATTTTAGATTTTTTATAACATTTGTTATGCTTCCCTTTTTCATGGTATATTTAATACTCCCTCCGTTCCATTTTAAATTGCTTGTTTGTCTTTTTTCTTCGTCCCAAAATAAGTTACCTGTTAGTTGTTACCATTATAGAAAAAGTTTTTTTTTATATAAAAAAAGAAATTGAAAGTAAATATAAAAATATTTCATATTGGATAATCAAATTAACAAATTTAAAAATCATAATATAAAATAAACAAAATAAATTAGAAAACTTGAAAAGGACCAGGCAAACAAAATTAGAAATAATGAAAAGAACTCAGCAAACAAAACATGAAAAAGGACCCGCAAACATATTCTATGCCTCGGCAATGACTCGCGGAGAGAGTCAAAAAGCAATTGACACGCGTGGAGAAACAAATTTGGTGATGATGTGGCAGTGCGTGGAGGCTATTCTCCACGCCACTGCAAATGCTCTTAAACCCCTCAAGGTCTTTACTTTTCCCATTGAGTTATGCCCCATGGGCAATTCTCTTTTTATACTAAAAAATATAAAGATGAAAGAAGTCAAAGAACTATTCAATTATGACTAAAATAGGACTTTCAATATATTTATAACAAAATATAACATATGGTTCCAAAGAGTGAATATATATTTCTAAAAATGTTCTATAATGCCAACATACAATGCTAAATGTGTTGGTAATATAACTAATATTTAGTGTCATTGTCTATTTTATATCATTGTATTTACTTAGATCAAACATAAATTTTAGTAGACGATGTTTAATGATGTTACAAATTTCATAGCGGGGTCTGGAGATGACAATCTGTAATGCCCTAAAGAACGACTTAGAATTTATTAACTTTTGACTGTAAATAATAATCTTTTTATTTTTAGTTCATCAAATAAAAAATGATACAATTAATTTATACTCCCTCTGTTCCTAAATAGATAACAATTTTTTTTCTCTCTCCTCTCGGTAACTTTTGTTTGTTTACGCAATTTTATCAAATATTTGATAAAATAAAATATTCTAGTCACCTCTTATTTTGTACTCCCTCCGTTTTTAAAAACACTTCCTCTTTCATTTTTTTCACTTTCAACAAAACACTTTCACTTTCTATTAAAAAACCACTTTTACTCTTACTTTTTCATACCCTACCTATCACATCATACTTTATCTCTAATAATCTATCCATCACACCTTACTTTACCTATCACATCAAGGGCAAAATTGGAAGTCAACTACAATTTAATACTTCCTTATTTTTACACAAAGTCAAAATAGTAACACTTTTTCCAAACAAAGGGAGTAGAACTTTTGACGTAGTTTTTTAATATGTAATTTTTATAGCTTCTTGATATACCAATTTGTAAATAAAATGATTTCAAAAAGTAAGAAATTTTACTACGTAATCTACAATTTGTAATCAAATTAGGGACGGATAGAGTATAAAAAGGGAAATTTTTCTAAATATTACTAAAACATAGAAATTTTCCCAATATAGATAATATATTTTCATTTCTCAATGTAGTATCATTGTTCAATGTCCACTAGTCATTGTTCAAGTAAATATCTACCGCCGCTCGATATTGTTCAAACCAAATGTCCACCATCACTGGACATTGTTCTCGTTACTAGACATTATTCAAATACTATTTAGGGAATTAAAAAGTTTAAATCCTACATTAGAAAAAGACATTTTCCCTTCGTCACACAAAACATTATCCATTTTGATGTATTTTTAATCAAACAGTTTAACGCTTTGATCATAAATTAAATACTCCGGGTATAACTTAAATAAAATTTGATGTATTTTTGGTCCAATAGGTACAAAGAGTACAAGAGTACTGTTACATTTTAATTTTAAAGGTACAAGGAGTACTGTTCATCTGAATTTTTTTTGAATGCCTTGACAGGGAACTCTTTTTGAAATAGGAAATTAATTCCCCTTTCCCGGTCATTCTGATCAATATTTCTAGGACTGTGATTTCCAGATCCGGCTGGTGGCCGCTGTTCATCTAGCCGCGGCAAATCCATCTGCTAATCGGCGGGTTTCTGCGTTTCATACTCCCTAAAGTTTAACCATGGCGTACAATCATTACTGTCACCATTTGTCTCAAAAGCTCTCCTTTTCTGCGTTTCATCCCAACGGGAATTCCTCATTTACTCTCCCACCTCGCATTCCCTCGAGCTGCCCTTATCGACGATTCGCCGTTTCAGTCTCGTCCGGCGGCGGAGAGGCTGCCGGCGTCAGATTCACTTGGGACGATGTGTCTCGAGTCTCTAATTCTCCTGGATATCACTCTTCTGACCTGCAATGCTTCTTCGATAAAGTTAATCTCTGTAATCAGAATTCGGTAAGCCCCCCTTCAAACCTCCATATCTGTCATGGGACTGATTTTTATTGATCTTGTTATTGTTCATAGTTTAGGTTTTATGATGAAGATTTTGAAATTTGTTGCAGGAAAGTCAGAATGAGTTCACGCCATTTGTTGTGGAGAATGCAATAGTTGGATATGTTCACAATAGGTAATGCCCTTTAGTTTATGCGTAGGAGCAATGTACTAGATATGGAAAAAGAATCCATCTATCCATAAGATTCATCCAAAGATAAACCCATTCACTCCATCCATTCAAAAACTAATAATAATGGGAATGGGTTGGATTCAATTCATTCATTTGTATTGTATGGATGTAATCCATTTAATTTTAAAGGAAAAAGCTACTTTGACACCACAGGGTTGACACGGGATGACAAACCTATTCAGTCCATCCATTCAAAAAACTAATTAGAATGGAAATGGATTCGATTCAATTCATTCATTTGTAGTTTATGGATGTAATAACCCAATACATTTGTAAGAAAAAATGGTAAAAGCTACTTTGACACCACAGGGATGACACCAGGAATGACAATGTGGGTGCCTTTGTTTTCACTTGCAGTGACTACAGACAAACAGGGAATAGTTCAGACGGTGTTACACATTGTGTCATGGTAGGCTGTAGCACAGCATTTTTAAAAACCCACTGGATCATATTTTGTATTTCTTCCAAATGCATTAGAGTCATTGAATTTTTCGCATGATTACTCTATACATCCTAAAGTACAATGCATTGCACAACAATCTATACACTTGAAAAAGTATTAGGAAAATGGATGCCTTGCCATTCAATATTCATCGGCGGGAAAAGTTGTTAATGGATGGATTATTAGATGGATCATGGATAGAGTAACTTTTTTATTTTATTTTTTTTTATTTATTCCATCCCACAATTATTTTTTTCAAAATAAAGTTTTCCCAACCAATCCATTTTCACCTCCTATTTTGGACTATACTACTACTAACGTATTTTCCAGGACACAATCTTATGCAGGCTGTATCTTAAAATCTGCTGAATAAAAAATAGTTTAAAGAATAGATCTTTCATGAATGTTAAGATGCTGAAAGATCTGCATCACTGGAATTTTGCATACAATTAGAATTTTTTGTTTCTACGCATCTATTTAAAGCTTCTTTGACGAGGGGATCAATTTAATGTTTTGTAGGTTTGCAGATAAGCTGAGGAAATTTGAAAACGTGTTTGTTTTCCCTAATGGCAGTTCTTATGGAAGCTGTTTTGAGTGCCATGTTACATTAAATCCGATGCTTCAAACACCTGAGGATAGGACTGCTGCTGTTGATGTAGTAGTTAAGTCTTTAGGGGAAGAACTGATTCCAGGTATACGGAATGAGGTACTTCGTTTGATAGTTGAGCTAAGTTATGCCCCATTTCACTCTGTGATTAATTAGAACTTATTGTTTCCATAAAATATACAATCGACTTGAAGTGGTACTGATGTCGATCACACAACCAGTTATTTCCAGTGACACCATCTTTTGATACACCAGCATTTTTCTCATTGGAAAGAGCTGCAGCACCATACTTTGGGATAAAGGTATGTTTTATTACTTCACACTGCAAACTACCAGAAAGTTAATATTAAATCCCATTATGTATCTAGCAGCAGAACTGTGTGTCAAAATGTCTTATTTTAACCATGCACCCTTTCCCCTTGCTTGAACTATGCATTTCAGGCTTATGGAGTTCATATGAATGGGTATGTTGAAAAAAGCGGGCAGAAATTTCTCTGGGTAGGAAAGAGAAGTGACAACAAAGCCACATATCCTGGAATGCTTGATCATCTAGTTGCTGGAGGACTGGTACATAGCTCAACTTGACATAAATTCATAATTCTTTGACAGACTAGAATAGTTTCAATGGAGCTAAAATAGTTGTGACTTGTGATTGAGCATGTTTTAGCTGTTGGCAAATAACATACTAAATCAAAATGGCACGTTAAACTTCCTTTGCTTCTCACTTTCAACGAAGTTTTGGATAGTAAATGCAGCAATGTTAACAGAAACAGTCTCTCTGTATTTTAGCATTGCGTAAATAATAGACTAAATCTATATGACACATTCAACTTTCTTTGCTTCTTACTTTCGATGAAGTTTTGGATAGTAAATGCGGCAATGCTAACAGAAACAGTCTCTCTCTATTTTATTGGGATAAGATTGTGTACATCTTGACGCCTAGACCCCTACAAAGTTGGGATTATACTGGTTTGTTGACTTCTTGTTGTCTTTGACAGACCCAAGATTTTGAGACTGAACATAAATTATCAACTTTGTCTAATTACTAGTTACTACACAGTATTTTTTAGAGTAAATTCCATAACTGGTCCTACAAGGGGGTTTCCATATTTAGTGCTCTGTTATCAAATATTACTCACGTAGTCCTTTTATGGGTGCCTTTCCACAAATGGTCCTTTTTTAATCTTCTTCCATATTGGTGTTACTGTGTTAGTTTAAAGGCCAAAAGTATAATTTGACATCAATCTTATGTCCAGCGGCATATAAGCGTATTCTGATATTGGTTAAATGAATAACACAAAAAAATGACTATGATTGTGAGCTAAGATTCCGACGAAAGACCACATATGTAGACGATGGTTGTAGTATAAAGCGACTGTAGTTCACAGACGATGCATCGGGTGCGGCCTTTGGAATTGTGTATGAGAAGAAAGATATATTAGCATTCTGAAATTACACTTTTAGCCTTCAAATTAAACCAACATGATAGAAGATCAAAAAAGGATTATTTGTGGAAAGATACCCATAAAAAAGAAGGACCACCAGAGTAATATTTGATAATAGAGGACTAAATAGGAAAACCCCCTGTTATAAAGGACCAATTATGGAATTTACTTTTTTATGGGAGGTATTTTTAGGTGCCTCACAAATCATTAACCACAAGAACCAACAACGTTGTAGACTTAGGTTTGCTGGTTTTGTTCTACTTACTATACTACTCCGTACTAATCAAAACTATTCATCTGTAATCTTTTATTTTCAGGTGGGGCATTTTTGTCTCAACTGAGTTCAGTTTTAGTTATTTACTGTGATTCAATTTTTGTTAACCTATGTTGTCATGGTCACAGCCACATGGGATCTCTTGTGGAGAGAATCTTGTGAAAGAATGCAAAGAAGAAGCAGGCATTCCAAGATCTCTTTCCATCCAGTAAGTGGAATTGCACATTGTGTCAGAATTGGTGCTGAATATTAGAGGAATCTGAGTGTATTATCACAGATTAGTTGGTGGTATAATATGTTATTTAGCAACCTGATTATCATCTTGTGATCAGAGCTACACCAGTAGGAGCCGTGTCATACAGTGACATAGACGGATATAGGTTCAAGAGAGACGTCCTCTTTTGCTATGATCTCAAGCTTCCTGAAAGCTTTATTCCCAGTAATGAAGGTACTTGGTTTAATGCACATTTATGTGATCAAAAAGGTGAAGAAATTAGTAATGACAGCGACATAATTCAACTATATGTTTCTAACAATATAATAGGTGCCGTTGTCGTTAAGCCATAAAGGTAATAAAAGATTCACATTAATAAACTAAGGCATGGGTAGAAAAACACTTTTTTTATAATTGGAATATTTATTTTGTTATGCAATTTTGCAGATGGGGAGGTCGAAAGCGTTAGACTGGTGTCCATATCTGACGTTGCAAATATAATAATGAGGACTTCGTATTTCAAAGCAAACTGCAATCTTGTTATCATTGATTTTCTTATACGGCATGGGTATGTACGTCTTCCACCATTTCAGTTGCCTACATTTTGTCAAAGGCTGAAGCTGAACTGCTATATGTATATATATGGTTTGATTTCAGCGTTAACTTATTGTACGTTTTTCTGACATTAAAATTGATACATGCAGGTATATTAAGCCTGAAGAACTTGGATACTTAAAGCTACTTCAAAGCTTGAGAAGTGGAGATTGCTCCTGAGAAACCTGTTTCTTCTTCTTTACCTGGTAATTCCAAATTCCAATAAGCTATTGAAAAAAAAGATGGAGTTACATATAGATAATCTAAAGAATACTAGGTGTGGAAGGTGGCATTCTATGCATGAAAAATGAGTATTTGCTAGAAGCAAAATGAGCATCCATTATATCAAAATGTGCATTTTTTACAAG